AATGTCAATGTAAATGGTTTGTGACAACTCATGCGGTGTTTCCTCCCTGCGACACATACAGTATGTGTGTCAGAACACGTTGTCAACATCTGCTGCTGTTAACACATCTTTAACACATGCTGTGTTGGAAGTGACAGCAGACATGTTCGCACCAACTGGACATACGACACGTCCTGAAGGGTGCTGGACTGAGCCGCGTGTCACTGAACAATCGGCCGTGTCGTTTGGAGCAGAGACCGATGATATTGTAAATACATAATACAACCAGAGCCTTTAAGTCAGAGTCTGGGTTGATTGTAAAGTGCTGGTGGATTTCACTGTAAAAGTACAATTTTAGGTTAAATTTTATTTCCTTTTAGGGAAAGAACAGTAGACTGCCACACAGCCCATACAGAGCCTCAAGCCTGTCCAATCGTCACATACAGTAGCTCAGGCATTTTTAATGTGTTGGCATTTCTTGCCTGTTCAACATATTTATATATGATGTCATTTTTTAAGAAGCTTTGAAGAGGTTTTATCCTAATGACATTGAAATTTGGTTTTGTGACTCATCAGTCAGTCAGCGTGGCTCTTCTTGAAGTTGTGATGGCGTCCTTGTTGATCTCAGTAGATTCTAATTCACTAGAATGTAGCCTCTATGTCTTTATTCATCTTTATTTGCTGCCTATTTATTAGAACAAGACTGAACAGCCATGTAAGTGGCTCTGTGAGTCTGTGAGCTAAACCCTAATGTCACCATACCAAAATGCTCATAATCTCAAAGCTAACATGCTGACATTAAGCAGGTATAATGGTAAGCTTGTTCGGCATTTTAGGTTAGTGCATTAGTATGTGTGTTAAAAGCAGGGGAATGTCAGTTTTGCAGGTATTAGATGATGCTGTTAGAGAAAGAGTTAGAAGATCTCTAATGTTATTGCGATTCATCCTGAGGGGAAATAATTGTCTGTACCATATCTCAAGGAAATTCATCCAGCAGTTGTTTAGACATTTCTGGCTTTGGTTTTGACAGAAATGTCTACATCTGTCAACATCATGGTGGCACTAGAGGAAAAGTCAGCGGTTTACCAAAGTCAGCAGGACTCCTCCTCTGAAACACGCTCCATCCAGTAGTTGCTGAGATATTTCAGTCTGGACCAAAGCAGTTGGCTGACAGACCAACACTGCCGTACTCAGAGTCATGCTGCTAACATGGCTTAAAAGAAAGTAGAAAAACACCCAATCTGGAAACACTGAGCACTTGTTGTAAACCTTTTAAGATTAGTAAAGAAAGTGCCATATCTCAGAATTAGTCATGTTAATCTTAAGTCAAAGGCAACTGGACTGGATTGAAGAAACAACCCTCCATTCATTCATGTGAGTTTGTGCGAGTTTCAGTGTCAGTTCATAAATAAAGAGTGAGCACAGTCACTGTTGAAACTAAGAACTAGCCACCCGTTTTTGTGTGAAGTTACTATGGATCTCTGCTTGAAGTCAGAGTCTGGATAAGGGGGGGGGGCTGGGGTAAGAGCAGAGCAGAAGAACTCAAACAACCTCTCGCCAGTTCAGTTACACAATCAGTCCACATCTGACACATAATCACTTGGCAGTAAGAAACACAACAATACACAGTAATGCTGATACACTTCAACCTCTTTTAAGCAACAGTAGTTACTCCCACCGTGACTGATGCTGTAAGAGGTAGGCAAACATTTCCCCAGTGTTTCTTACAGTGATAGGTGGGGATCATATGCACACTTTGCACAGGGAGGTGGAGATGGTGTGTTCAGACACAGAGGATTAGCTATGTCATGGTAAAGTGACGTCTTGGCTGCAGTAAGGTTTTTCTCTACATCTTCATCAATGATCAGGATGGTCAAGATCAAGAGGTCACAGCCTGCAGGCGTCCAAGAAAAAAAAACAAGCAGCCAGTCAGAAACAAAACCTCCACCCAGGAGGTTGAGTGTGACAGAGACAAGAGACACTGTTTCTGTCAGTTGAAACTTAAAGACATTGAGGGTAGTGCCCCACAGTTATGGGTAAAGTTGTAATGTATTGTAATCATTATTATGCAGTCAGGGTCGGAGGCAAAATGTTTTTGGGTTGTCCGTCTGTACGTCCGTACATGTTCGTACGTCCCATTCTCGTGAAGGCGATATCGCAGTACCACCTTGTGGGAGTTTATTCACATTTGGCACAAACATTCATTTGGACTCGAGGATGAACTGATTAAAATTTTGTGGTGAAAGGTCAAGGTCATTGTGACCACACAAAACATGTTTTTGGCCATAACTCACAAATTCATACCCTAATTATGACAACATGTAACACAAATTTCTAATGGGATAAAATGATGAAGTGATGACATTTTATACCCATACGGTCAATGGTCAACTTCATTGTGACATCATAATGTTCTGCAAAACCTACACACTCATTATGAATTATCTAACAGTTTTGTTTGCATCCCATGTTTGAATATTTTCAACCAGCAGTAGATCAGTAACCAAACTGCCAAAACCTTTTGAGGAAAGTATTGATAATAAATTCCTCAGTCTACATGCTATTTGAAATAAATTGCAGATTGCACCACAGGTATCGAAGACTTATTATCCATAATTAGTTTTAAAGCTTTAATATAGAGTGACAGCTGCCTTAGACTTATGTGTGTGTGTGCTTGCTTTACAGCCAGGAAGTTAAAGGAGTCTGCTTACCCTAAATTCACAGAACCTCTGTGTGGTTCAGTCTATCTTCTCAGATGAAAGGAAGTAAAAATGTCCGTCTTCAGTTGATGTCATATTTCTTTTCTGGGCTTACACAGATCTACTGAGGCTTAGAGGGAGATGAGTCATTGTCATGTGGGCAAACCACAAAATGACCATGAAATTACAGACATAATTAGCCCACTCTTTGTGTGCTCAAATTCTTCTGCAGTGACAAGAAAATATGTTAAACATTTCCACCAACCTGAACTATTTCCCCGAAGCTCAAAAGTTGTCAGTGGCTGTACTGTATCAGCACGATTTGCTTTTTGTTTTATAGGACTTATTGTTTTCCTTTCCCTTGGCAATAAAATCTGTTTCCCCACAGACATAAGTTTCATCGTTAAAGTATTTTGGTGAAATCAAATCCCACCTGTAATAGAGTCTGTGTTAAGCAATTAGTAAATGTCTTTCATCATTGTCTTTGGTCATCTTTAGTGATGTCACAGGCCACTCCTTTATCTGCTGCATAAAGGGGTCTTGTGCTGTATGCTCATTTTCCAGTTTGCAAGGATGATGTTTTAGGCTAGCATTAGGACACTAACTCCACCCACTGCTGCTTACAGATAATACAGATATTATCATATTGTCAGATGCGGCTGTGTTTCAATCCCATAGTTTTTTTTCTATAGGCGAAGGGGAATCACCGCTGGGATTTGTAGATGTGGGGCCCAAAGGAAATCAGAAGTTAAGCAGGCAGCCGAAATGCAACTCAACCTTACTGTCTGGCTTTGATCCAGTACTTCGAAAACGCATCCTTCCCTTGTTTCCGCCCTCAAGATTATATCACTGACCCTAGTGAGAGCAAAATACAAAAAAAAAAAAAAAAAAAAACTGTCACAAATCCACTTCAAGCCAGATCTGATTAATCAGTGAGCATAAGCAGCTGGGGAAGACTTGACATCGTACAGGCTTAGTGCCACAGATCTGAGAATGATCTACAAAACCTTGACCAGGGAGGATGTGTTCTTGATGTATAGAGTCTCTGTCCTTTTCTCCGTGTCTCGCACTCCACTGACAGCAGCAAAATCACAGAGGAAACAGGAAAGGCCTGAGCAGCTTGGTGTTAGGACGGATATCCTCTTTCGGAGGCGTTCCCCCTCCTCCCTCACTTAACTCTCCCTCTCTTTATCTCTTTTTATCGTCCCCTCCACCCCCCTCTCACCCCCCAAAACCCATTTTGTTCTCAGTGTGGCATTAACTGTTTGGCTGAGCTCAGGAGCGAACCAAAGATTTCTGTTCCTTTTTGTCTTTTTTTTTTTTTTTTTTTTTGGGGGGGGGGACATCAAATCTGAGTGAACTATGTGTTGGCATGGCGACGAGGAGGATGATGACAGCTCGGAGGTAAAGTGTTGTTGAGTTGTTTGTTTGATTTGTGTGTTCCTGTAATAGTGGCTGAGTCGCTGCGATTTCTAGTGATTAACACTCTGTCTCCTGCGGTGTTCCTGCGGTGTTGAGTCTCCAGGTCTCGCTCTGTGGCAAGTTGTAGCACTGCTAGAGGTGATTTTTTTTTACAAGTACACAAGGTTATCTTGCTCATAGGCAGGAAAACGTTCTTAGAAGTTGAAGAAATTAAGCAGGAGCGGAGCCCTATTGTGTGCTGGTCTTGAAGTGTGGAAAATGTGTTTATCAAGTTAAGACCATCAGCATTTCTCACACAGTAGAGAAGAACCGGATCATGAGAAAAGGCTGAATGAGGACAATGGACAGCACAGGTCATGGGACAGATTTGTAATTCACTTTGATGTTTGTGTATAGTATTGAGTTTTAGCCCCTTTGACAGGAAGACTATCCTGAAAATCTCTAATGCTACTCTTGAACATCAGTAATTCTAAAGCTCTTGTTGTAAACCGGTCTGACATTACAGATTTGTTTTGAAATATTATAAACAATGGCTGAACAAGATTTTTGTCATTTCTCACTGCTGCTGTCTCTTTTCCCATCCTCTTGCTTCCTTTTCTAGTTTTTTTTTTTTTTTTTTCTTTTTCCTTCTTACCCAACTTTGGCCTTTTCCCTCTCTTACCTATGACTGTCGTCTCTCCCCCTTTATCTCTTTCCTCCTATTACTGTCTTATCCTGCTCACCATCTCTTCCTCTTCTTTCTGCTTCACTCTCAACACCTCCTCTTACCAGGCTGACTATGTTGTAAATTAAGCCTTGTATTTTTATTCTGTTTATAATTGCGTTGCCTAATCTCTTTCCTTTGTCCTGCATATTCCTTGTTTTCCCCCTCCCTCTTTCCTTCTCCGTCCACCTGTCCAGAGTGACCCAGGTGGGCTGTCGGTTCTGGAGCAGCTCGGTCTAGATGAGAAATCAGACTTTTCAGACTCCAGTGTGCAGCAGCTTCTGGACGAGCAGCGTGAGAGGATCCGCAGAGAGATACGCAAGGAGCTGAAGATCAAGGAAGGAGCGGAGAACCTGCGCAGGGCGACTACTGACAAGAGGAATGCTCAGCAGGTCAGCCACAGTCACCCATAGATCGTCTGCAGGTCCCTAGTGTTTTTTATCTTTTCAAAACAACCACAAGTCTCATGTTTAGTAGGAGTGAGCTTTAAAACAGGTTTCCCACTGGTAATAGAAGATCTGAAGTATCAACAGGGAACGTCAGGGGTTTGCCAAGAAAACAATTAACCAGGATATATGAGAATGCATCAAATTGTTATTCTTAACAGCAAGCACAGAAATGGGCAGGAACCCAACATTTCATCCCCCCAGACACATTATCAGTAACAAACAAGGCAGGAATAAAATGATAAGATCATGGAAGCACTCTGACAACTTAAAGTTGGAAAATCATAGACTTTTACGTCAGTATCACTTCAGGAAACCAGTTTAATGACTGTGACCAGAGCGGTGGCTGGTGAATCAGACACTGGTATGTCGAGCCTTTATCCTGTTTGTCTTTACATATAGTTGGGACTTTCTGTAGGATCTGACTATGATTTTTTAAATCCTCAGAGGACCAATATTTTGACCAGGCTCACTGACCATATATTTCCACATCATGAGGCAGGGCATTCCCACGGTACCCTGCCTCACAATCACACAGGTTCACACGTTTACTTCCTGGATCTGCCCAGTACATCTGCTGGGAAGCAGCAGCAGTGCCAGGTTCTGTCTGTTTGAGAGTGTGAGCAGCACCACTCGAGCAGTTGGAGGATTAAATGCTTTGCTCACGGGCAATTTTAGATATCAAGAGAGGAATTTAAGACGGTTGCTTAGATTTTGTTTACAAATTTTTGTCAATAACAAGTGTTTACTGCAATCTGGAGTTGTAGTTTTATGATTGAAGCAACAGTTCACTGAGCATGGATCATTATACTAGCATATTCGGATGGACAACAACGGTGGGGCCAACCGTGTAATCGCAAATGTTCGTGAGTGAATGTATGTGTTAGAGATGAGTGATCACAATTCCACCAATGGTCAGCTGAATGCCACGTGACTGATTTGGAGTTTCCCCATTGGCTACTGCTGTTTCAGAGTTCATTGATGCAAACAGTTATTATTAAGGGGGCGTCTACAGCCTGCAGTGCTGCCAACTTAGCGCATTTGTCGCTAGATTTAGAGACTCTTTTTTTTTAAAAAGCACTTAGCAACAAATCTAGCAACTTTTTTTGGATAAACCTTGGCTAATTAGGGAAGAGTCACCAGTAATGCCCTCTCTCACATCTACTCTGCTTAGTGAGTGTAGAGAGAGAGGCAGAGCAGCAGTTTGTTACCCAGACAGAGACTGTGCGCTGTGTGAGAGACAAAATAAGAAAGATATTCAGTCGCTTCTGACTTTCTCCCTGAGTGATCATTTTACAAGGACATATAATCAAATCACAGCACAGTCTGATTTTGTCTGACAAATTCACGTTTATAAAATCAGGGTTTTAGCAGTGCAGAGCAGCAGCTTGAAAGTTAAGATGTAGTGTTAATGGGCCACGTTTTAATCACTGTTTCAAACTTGCTCTATTTTCTGACAACAGAAACAGAAAAACATGTAAATGAGAACAACTTTAATAGAAATTCAGCTGTATTAAAATACTGTGTATGTGAGCACAGAGTGGGAGAGAAGTAGACAGATAATGAGCTGAAACCAGCTGACACCAGGCAGAATGCAAATAGGATGCGATGTTGTCAACGGTTCCACAAAAGTTTTCAACTACTCTTGTTTTATAGGTAGATGACTTTAGTCTTGGCATAGAAATAGAAGGTCAGGATTGTTCAAAGATAAAGCACAACAGTTCACTCGGCTGTATTTATAGTGGTTTGATTAGAGTAAGTTAACACGGAAAGATGCCAACTTTATTTCTAATAACTTCCCTGATTGTTCAACAAATTACCCATCAGCATTTACATTAATGGAGACCTTTTCAACAAGGTTTTAAGCTACTTGCCTGTTGCTGCTTGCAGACTTACATTGTGTCTAAATTAAGCACGTTAAACAAAACTGAGACAGAGAGCCAACTTCAAGATGGGAAGACTTGTCAGGAAGCTTAAGAATTGACTTAAAGGATCAAATAGATTTTCTGGTATTTCAGGAGAAGTATTGAAAGCTTAGTGTGTTCTTGTAGAACCAGTTCAAAGACAAACACTTGCTCTTTCTTGTTTTACTGCTAGGCTGGTATACTGATGTTTTTATACAGAAAATAAGATGTAGTGTTATAATATAATCTCCCTGAAAGGAAATGAAAGGAGGCTTCATGCAGTGTTTTTGTCTACAGGTGGACAGTCAGCTGCGGTCTTCGAACCGCAGACTGGACAACCTGCACGCTCAGCTGCAGGAGCTGGATGCTCACATTGTGGTTAAGGGAGGAGAGGAGAATAAAGGTATGTATGTCATAAACTGTAACTCCTGTTGTTAAATCTACCACGTGCTTTTGTTCCAGACAACCGTGACAGAGTCATCAAAACTGCTCCAGTATTGCAGGATATTAACCTTGTACATTCTGCTATTAAAATTCAAGAGTGCAACAATATTATTTGGCATTAAATGAAATTCCCTCAAGAGCGTTTTCATTTTGGAGCACAGCATGTGAACCCTTATTTTGCTCCTTTTTTTTTTTATATCATCTCTAACCTTTCCCTTTCCTCCACAGATGAGTGTCCTCAGTCTCCTGGGGCAGAGAGCCGAACGTCAGCCCACAAGGAGCGCATCGCTGCCCTGGAGAGACAGCTCAACATTGAGCTCAAAGTCAAACAGGGAGTTGAGAACATGATTCCCATCTACGCCAATGGATCCACCAAGGTACAGGACATCAACTCTATCCACACATGCACATACACACACCCGAACACAACCAGACGAAGTGTAGGACACTTATCATTGACTACAAGGATAATATTTTGAAGGGTACAGGCCACACGCATCATACCCCTCCCCCAGGTGGCTGATAACTCACAGTGTGCGTCTGTGTTTGTGTGTGCACCTTCGCGATCGACAACCTTGCAATCTGCTGACTCAGATGTTGATCTCTAAATGCATATAACCTGTGACACACAAGAAGCCTTCCCCTGCGCACACACCATATCGCCAGCAGCATCTGTTTCACCTTACCCCTTCACCTTGCTCTCACACCCTTTAGTTCTTTTTGTGTTTCACTGCTGAGAGACCTTAAAGAAGACTTTGAGGCTCATTCAATAAATCAACTTGAGAGAAACACAAACGCTCCTCTCCTAGTTTCTCTGTGTTTTTGTAAAACTGTAAGATAAAGTGACAGCACCACTGCTCTGTCATACATCTTTCTAGTTTTATGATATATGGATTTGTAGCTTCCGATCACGTGATTCGCTGAGTGTTTTCCTCCTGTTTCAATCAGGATAAGAAGATGCTGCAGACGGCCCAGCAAATGCTGCAGGACAGTAAAACCAAAATCGACATTATCCGCATGCAAATCCGCAAGGCTGTGCAGGCCACCGAGCACAATGACGACACACAGGGTAAGTCTGAGTGATTGGCTAAACGAGTGTATACAAAGTATAGCTGACACAATGTTGTATCAGTATTGCAAAACATACTTGTAACAATAGTCTTGCACAATAAGGGAAACTCGCCCTGGTGGCTTGTATATTGTTGTTATAACATTTAAATGTTTACAGCATTTGGTCTCTAGTGTAGTATGTGGTTGCAGTATGAAATGCTAAATACTGTACATACTGTATATTACACATAAAACCATGGAACGGACAAAAAGAGACATCTACAAAACATACACTAATAATTTTGACAGACATGCTGTTATTGTTCTTGGACAGAAGATTTTTTGTTCATCTGTCAGTGTCATGTGAGCTGAACTGTTTTTCTTCCTGTGATAGCTGAATCTTAAACCGAAGCGTTATACTTTGTGGTTTATGACAGTGGGCAGCTGGCACTAACAGGATGCTTTTTGCTGGGTCTTGTTCATGTTCTCATGTGATCTGCAGTCTTTCTGTTTCTCTGCATGTCAAACATTTTGTTCTTAGCAGTGGCTCCAGATTCGCAGGCGCACATTTGCAGAAACAGATCAATCAAGAGCTGTCTCTCTGTTTTCACATCTCTCAGCCCAGGTCTTGTGGGGAAGAAGATGAAGAGGATGGTTAGGGGTTGATACACAATAGACTGTCATCTGTGTGTGTGTGTGTGTGTGTGTGTGTGTGTGTGTGTGTGTGTGTGTGTGTATGGGTGGGATGGACAAATATGTGTGTGAATGATACAAAGCCTGTGAAATGGCCCACCTGGCACATTACCACAATCAATCAAATTCACACACAGATGTAGACTAAAAAAGAAATACAACCTTTCAACAAAAGGACCAGGACATGAAAAGTCTCTTTCACACGCACGCACGCACGCACGCACGCACGCAGGCAGAGGCACAACATTGTCTGGGCGGGTGATTACATGTATTAAATGTGTGGAAGTGCTTTTATGTGGATGTTGCCGTGTTGATGCAACTGAACAGAATATGTGGCCCAAGCTGAGCGGTGAGTGCCGTGGACCATTATGGCCCCTCTGCTGGGAACACACTGCTGACGGTCAGGAGAGGTGGGTGGGTTGGTTAACTGCAGCAGGAGAGCAGGGAGAAAGCAGTGGGAGGGGCCAGAAGTAAAAAAAAAAACAAAACAGATTTTATAGATGGTGCGTTCCCTTTGAGGCCGTATATTCCTTTCTGCTCATGTCAGACTGAGGGAGCTGATGGCTGTGAGGAAAGGCCGTGTCTTTTTAGGCCAAGAAGATAATGGCCATTCGGAGGGATTATTTAAGGGCCTTTTAAGGCCACACTTTATCCCTCTGTGGCTTCCATGTGGAAAACCTGCAGGGTTTTCATTGATCTGAAGTTCCCTCTGCTGCTGTAATGTGATAAAAATAGTATTACAGCTGTTTATGACCAGACTGAGCAGCAATGATTTTGTAGTTAAAGGGGAACTCCACTGATTTTACACATCAAAGTCTGTTTATCGGTCTTTGGGAGTACTAGGCTTTGTGACCCCAGAGAGAGCTGTGTGAAATCTGATAAACTACCTCAGGTGATGTCACTTGAGTCAGCATTGGTTGGGGCTGAAGAGTACAAGTTTGAAAATGGAAAAAAAAAGGTGTAGAGTCAGAAAGAAGTGAGACCTCTGTAGCCTGGTGCTCGTCTCTGCTTGAGGCTAGAGGCTCCAGGCGACATTTGCCACTACTAGTGTAACACAGCAGAATGTCCAACTGAACAGTTAGCTGCATTGTGGGTAATGTAGGCGCCAGGTTAGGGTAAGGCCAGGTAAGAAGAATGTGCGGAATAAAAAAAAAAGAGGACATCTCTGGTTCTGCTGGATCAATTTTGATCCTTTTTTTGTCAATTGTAAGTCTGGAAAAGTTGTAGCAATGCAATGCTAAACAAGTGGAGTGCTCTTTTAATGGGGTTTAGTTAAAGTTGTGCACAAACACATAAGAGTATCCTGTATGCCTCTCTGTACTTTCTCAATTGGTTCTGTTGTGCCAGTGTCCTACACAGGCTCTTTCTTGGTTGATCTCACTCTCTCCATTAAACCACGCACTCACACACCCCCACCGGGTTGTGTGTATAGTGTACACAGACAGACAGTCTCCAGGCACCACACCCGGTGGAGGGGTCATCTAGCAGGGTCTGGGCTCCAGGCAGAACACCTTATTAGGAGATAAAAGCATACATATCCACCTCCACCCCTACCCCCTTCTCTTTTCCTTTCTTTCTTCTCCTGTCTTATGCAACGCTCTGAACTGCTCATAAGTCGTAAAAATCATTTTCAATCACGTCTCTGTGTCCTTTGGTCCTTCCTCTTCACTAGCCTGACATTTAAAAGTCAAATGAACCTTTTTTTGAATGCTATTTATCCTATTGTCCTTTTCCTTATCTCAAGCCCCCTCTCTCCTTTTCCCATATCTATGTGCCCCGTTGTGTTTGCTGCCCATGGTGAGAGGCTGCTACTGTGCCATTAAGCTAACCACTTAGCTGTAATTGTGCTTGGCGGGTGCCACTCTGAGGCTGACCCCCGGCCTGCTTTTTTGAGTGAGGGAGCTTGAGTATGTTTTTCCTTTTTGACTGATTGTGTCACACCTGATTTTCTGTTTTTATTCCGCTTAATGTTACCGGGTCTTTTCATTTAATGGTCGAAATAAGCAATTGTCACTGTTTTATCTCAAGCAATTGTTTCATTTTTAAATGGCCATTAGTCTACAGTGGAGGTGAATATCACAAACTTCAAATGTAGCCCCTTTTGTTTCCAGTATATGATTTCTTATACAGTTATTTATATCATTTCTACACTGGTCTTTCATATTTAATGTCTCTCCTGTCAGCAGGACTTGATTTAGGAAACCATTTGTAACAATGGCAGTTGTTTTTAATTGTGATATCAGAATCAGATAGCTTTTTTTTTCTAGCGTAGCAAACAACTGTGTATCTGTCTTATTAATGTTAGCTGGCTAACCTGGGGTAGTAATCAGGGCATTTTTTAGAAATAAAATGCACGAGAGAGGGTGTTTTTTATTTTTTTTATTTCTCTGTTTGCTTTTAAAGATGGGAGATGGGAGGAGAAAGCCATTTGGAAGCAGAGGCAGAGCTAAAGTTAATGCTGCTCAGTGGAGAGATATGGACGCTGGTTACCTCCCTCCAGGCGCTGCTAATGTTTTCTTTGTCTGACTCTTGTGTAATGCATGACATGCATTAAAGCATTAACCTAACTTAGTATGCCCAAGGGAGTTCCCCATAACACACCACTGCCAAAACAAACGACTGTAGTTTCAACATCAAACGATAGAATCTAACTTAATAAAATGTGCAATTGTGATTTAAAAACAACAGAAACTGGTATAATATCTTCAGTCCACATCCATGTGATTGGTCCACTTCACCACTGCAGGTAACCAGGATCTGTGCGGGGTGGAGCTGCGTATTGAAGAGCTGAGGCATCACTACAGGGTGGAACATGCTGTCGCTGAGGGGGCAAAAAATGTGCTCAGGCTTCTGGGGGCCAACAAGGTTCAGGACAAGAAAGCCCTGTCTGAGGTTAGACTGGATACACACACACACACACACACACACACACACACACACACACACACACACACACACACACACACTATTTGTTTGTTTATTCTTTAGTATAAACACAAACATTACAGCATCATGAAATTATATGGTGTCAGATAAGAGTGCCATCAGCTTTATCTTTATGGTTCCAGCAGAGACGCAAAGCAAACCAAAAAATTTAAATCCAAAGGTTTCTGTGAAGTCAGATATTTCCCAAAGCATTTTCAGCTACTGCACAGTCTCAGCTCCCTCTACCATTTAAGAGATATCTTCACAACAGCAGCTGCAACATGACATACAGTATTGCCCCACCCCTCAAAATAACTGTATCTGTGTTGGTGTTGAAAGGGTTGTTGATCAGTACCAGTGTGACTCACCCCTTCTATTACTTTGTGCTGAGGTTTCTGGCTTTTAGTCTGTAGTGTTTTGAAATGAAAATCACCCCATTTTTCATTCTTGAAGGATGGTACTGGAAGAAAATACTGGCTTATGTTTTTCTCCAAATAAATATATAATATAATATATAATACATAATACATAATTCATATAATAGGATGGTAAGTATGGATTTTGAGGGCTGTGAGATTAGATCGAGAGTTAATAGTTTACTTAACAATTTCAGCAGTCACCTGGTGGATGTTGATATATATTAAAGCTGCTCTGTGTCGACGCTGTGCAGGCGCAGTCTCGTCTCAGCGAGGCGTCTCAGCGGTTGGATCTGCTGAGGGACTCTCTGGACCAGCGTCTGGCGGAGCTACCAGAGGACCACCCCAAGGCCAACATCATCAAAGAGGAACTGGTCCTGGCCTCCTCCCCAGCCTTCAGCTCCCGCCACGGTGCCCCATACCTCCACAACCAGTACAGCACCCTCAACAAACCTTCACCCCTCACAGGTAAGTCACACAAATTAAAGCTCAAACACCCGTATATAGCCTGCTCAGCAACGTCCCTAAATCCTAACTGCACAAATATCAGATGAAGCTGCACAACAAGTACAAATGCAAATTTTAAAGCTCCGTATTCCATCATTTAGATGAGCACAAGAGTTTACCATAAAACACTGAAGTGATTGGTGTTGACATACTAAAAGACTGCCACTGTGGAAACTATAAAGAGTCTTTGAAGCCATTAGTTAGAGTCTATGTGGAGGCATTTTATTAATCGAGGGAGTATGATGAGGTTTTCCCTTCTGCTCTTTGAAACAATTAAACAAAACCTGGCATGCTGCACCCAAAATTACTCCTTTGATTGTTTTAATCTGCCTTTATACACACAACACTGTACAGCAGCTTTTTTTAGAAGTGAACTTTTGGCTTGTGCAAGTGCATACACAGACTTAATCAATGCGTATGCATGTGTTTACAAATTAAAAGAGTGCATATCTTTCTTTGTGTTCACAGAGATTTCTAGTCCTGAACTTGCACAGATTTTTTTAAATCTTGCTGCTGGTGTTTCGGTCTGTAGTTGGTTGTAGCTGAATGGTTTTCCTCTGTCTTCAGGTACCCTACAGGTGCAGCTGTTGGGATGTGTGGGGTTGTTGGAGGTGGTCCCAGGTCGCAATAAAGGGACAGCTGTCATGCTGCCCTGTTACAGCCCTGGAGACACAAGGTCTTTCATGAGGGGCAGCAAGGGACTCTATGGACGGAGCGGTTCAGTCAGTGGGAAGACACCCAGCAAGACAGATGAGCTCTCGTGTAAGTGTGTGTCTGTTTGATGAACATTCATTTCTAATGAACACTCATTTAAGGTATATACAATCTCATTCAGCAGGTTTAAAAATAAATAAGCTCTTTTGCTTTAAGTTAACATTGTGACTTTATGTACTTAATTCATTCAAAGATGATAGATGTAAATGATTTTTTTTCCCTTTACAAATAGAGTAATGTACCATGTACTGTCAGTTCAATGGAGCCAATCCATATTAACTATATTACGATACAGTTGCAGCCTGGCACTTTTGTTTTCCTCTGGTGAGACGTGCAGTAGTCGCTTTAAGTTGCTGAGGTTGGGCCCTGTAGTTCAGCGCTCGCACATCAGGACACAGCAACATCAGCAAATTTAGCTGAATTGCCTCAGTGCCCTGAGTAGGCAATTCACAAACAGCTTTTTTTAATGTCTTGCATTCTCTGCTGTGTCTCCAAGGAAATTAATGACACTCATTAATCAATATTAAAATTGTATTATGTATTATAGTAGTATGTGCTTCCAGTAGCTGTTGTTTTTGTACTGGTCAGGACTTGATAGGAATGTCACCTATGGAGGGAATAAAATGAGGTGTGTGTGTGTGTGTGTGTGTGTGTGTGTGTGTGCAGCTGAGGTAAGTGCCGTGCTAAAGCTGGACAACACAGTGGTGGGGCAGACAGCTTGGAGGACTGTGGGAGAACAGGCCTGGGACCAGACCTTTACAGTGGAGCTGGAAAGGGTCAGTACATATACACACAAACCAGCAGAGTGCATGTGAGGGCCCTTTGACCAAAGTAAAACTGCTGTGTTCATGTTTTCCAAAACTGATGTCTCTTTTGTATCCGTGTGTCTCAGTCGAGGGAGATGGAGATTGCAGTTTACTGGAAGGATTTCCGCTCGCTGTGTGCTCTGAAGTACCTGAAGCTGGAGGAGTTCCTGGACAACCAGAAACACAGAGTCCAGCTGGAGCTGGAGCCTCAGGGCCTGCTGCTGGCTGAGGTACACGCCAACACATACACACAACACGCACACATCACACACGCGTCTTGACATAAACTGACACGGAACAACAAAAAGTGGGAAGAGGGACAGCCACACACAGAAGTGGACTCAGATGTCCCTGCATACTTGACACCCATCTATGCCGGTGCTATAAATACACACAAAAGATATTTAAATTTGCGTACATACACCTACCCCCCCACACACAAACACACGCACACACACAAGCTGTCAGGTGCACCTGTGCTGCAAAGCACTGCTTTGATATATGATACTGAAAGGTTTCAACCATCTGAGTGCGATATCTCAAAATAAAATGTGTGAGTGTAGTCTCCATGTTTTCATCTTTCATGTTTGTGTGTGTTTTCCAGGTGACCTTTTTCAACCCGGTCATTGAGAGAGTTCCTCGCCTCCAGAGACAGAAGAAAGTCTTTTCTAAGCAGCAAGGTGAGGAAGAGACAGAGCAGACAGGAGACAAAGACAAATAAGCTGAACGGGGAAATAACAGTGTTTCACTTTTCTGCTCTGCAGCCTCAGGACGAATAAGTTGTCACTCCACTGTATTTTCATTTAGACCACAGCACCCCCTAGTGGCGAATAAGCTTGTGTCTTCACATTGATGACACATTTATTCATGCAGCATTTATTTACAAAGTTCTTCACCCAAACAAGATGTAAAACAGATACTTAAAATCAGACAAAAGGTCACATACAGCAGAATAATAAGTTTTGGAGTATCATTTAATTTAGAGTATAATTTAATTTTATACAAATTCACTAAGAAGGTCTGAATATGAGGCAATGATTTTAAATGTAATAAATAATTTTTCTTGTATTTTAATAGCAATCCTGATCCCTTTAGGACTCTTATAACTTGAAAAACAATGGCTACACCATGCAGGAAGAGGCTGTTAATCAGATTTTTAAAACATCTAATATGAGATGGGGTCTGATGTTGGACAGTTTGTATTAAAAAAAGAAATTGTGATGGTGGTATAAATGTAACTCTTTCCTACAAGTGTGATTGATTGATTGATTGATTGAGTGATTGATTGACTGATGGTGATCTGCTGTGTGACACATACATTAGTGACTCTCGATGTGTGTGCGTTCATGTGTTTCTAGGCAAGGCATTCCTTCGTGCTCGTCAGATGAACGTGGACATAGGCACGTGGGTGAGGCTGCTTCGGAACGCTATTCCCACTGTCAACAACTCGGGAACCTACAGTCCCAATGCGCACAGCCTAACACTCAACTCCGGGTGAGACACATACACACACACACACACACACACAGCAAGCACATGTAAATGGTGCATAAGCTGCAGAGGTGCACACGCTCAGCATCTTCCTGTGACGATTTGATAGCCGTCAGCCAGCCTTTGCTATCAAACAGCAGCAGCGTTCCTTGAACCTTATTCCTTGTGTTTCCTGGCAAAGAATAAAGCATGTGATGCTTTCTCTGCCCCACGTCTAACAACCCTTCTGTGTTCTGTTTCTGTCTGTTCATTCGTCTGTCTGCATCGCCATGTTGGTCTGTTTGTGTGTATCTGTGTGAATTTTTCCAGGGAGATCTCAGTGGAGAAGTTGAGTCTGGACAGCGACTCTCCGATAAGAGGCGATTACAGGAGAGACACGGACACACACACTCCGGTGAGACAGACAGAGAGAGAGGAAGCCCAGGAAATTGGGGAGGTGTGTGTGAAGGGTTTGGTCTACTATAGTAAATCCACTGTGGGACAAATGAAATCTATCGGTTGAAAATGAAACGAAAGGCCCAAGGCTTGATCGACAAGTAAAGAAAAGAGTAACTGTTTGTTTTGCTGTTTGATCAGTGGATAATGTAATAATCCACAATCCAGGCCATAATAATTAATATTCAAGTTGAACTTGGACTGTATTTTGAATCTAAACAAATCTGTGACCTAATCTAATTTGTGATCTAATGATTTCTAAAAGAGTTTTCAGGTGAACCCATAAAGCCCATATTGAAAAGGGAATTGATCATTATAGATAAAGTTAATATTTTCACAATATCCAGTGTAGACAGCGGGCGATTTGTGGACTGTTAACATTCAGTCTCTTCTGTGAGACGCACGTATGACATTCAAATAACACAGCCGGTGTGATTGTCCTTGACGGGATTTGCGTCAGGTTTTAAATACAGAGCAGTAACAAAGAGCGAATCAGAGAATGTGCTGTTTGTCCATCACATCTAAGCCGTTGTCATAAAACCGTGTCTCTCGTCTTCCATCCTCTTTTCCCTCTGTCTCCGCACGTCTCTCTGCGTCTTTTCCTTCATGTCTCTTTCCTCGCATGTCCCCCGTCAGGACCGACCGCCAGTCATCGAGCCCTTCTCCCCCCCAGACCTCACCCCCGAGTGCCCTGTCCGAACCCCGTCTGTTAGCAGGTACACACTCACGCAGAAACACTGACTCCATATGCATTTACATGTGCCTTATGTGCCATATTTTTAATGATGTAATTACAACAATATTGTCTGTTTAGACTGATATTGTCTGTGTATATTCTGCTTCATATTAGGCCCTTTTCACAGAAGACATTTTGACACGTCAATAATAAAATGAATGATGGCTGAATTCCATTTAGCTGCCTCAGCTTCCGGGTCCTGGTATTGTTCATGCTGACTCACGGTCTGCTGTGCCTTACCAGAGGCATTGTTACTGTTATTTGTAACACCTGTGCTTTTTATACCATCACAAGTTAAAAATGTCTTCTCTGAAAAATGCCTGTCCATTAGCATTACTGCTCCCACTTTCACAGTTCCAGTGTCTCCCGTGACAGATGATGCTGTCGTGTATTCTGAGCAGTCGATATGATATTTCTAATGTATTTTGTTATCCTCTGCAACATATTCCTGCTGACTGTGTGTGTCCATCTCTCCAGTAAGCAGAGGAAAGGTCCTCTGTCCCTCCAGGACTTCCGGCTGATTGCCGTGTTGGGCAGGGGACACTTTGGGAAGGTACAGTTTCACACCAGGGCCTTTTTCTTAATTTATTTATTTTTGATTGGCAAGAGATTTAACTTTGAATCGACCAAACTGGTCAGTATCGAAGGGGGGGGGGGGGGTGTCACAAAACACAAAAAGACTTGGACTGGCAGCTGACATATTTGTAGAAATAAGGAAAGGGCAGAGAGTTACACGATATTTACATTACAATCAGAAAACCGTACAGACAAGACAGTGTGTAAAAAGCCTTTTTGTGTTCTATATGTCATTATCTGCCTGTCTTTGCATTTATTGAGCTTATTTTCCCCCTTTTCCTGTATTTTATGGCTTCTTTCCTTCTTTCTTTCCTCTTTGTGAAACTTTTAACTGGTGTCATGGCTGCAGGAGCTTGAACTTATTGACACATCTTGATAAATTTTTAAAAGGTTTCCGTTTCTGCTCCTCATTAAACCAATAAGCATGCACATCTACAAGCGCTCCGTTTTACACGTTTTGTACATTTTCAAAAGTCCATTTTTGCTGCTTGTGTGTGTGCGTCTCCAGGTGTTGTTGTCAGAGTACAAGAAGACAGGCATGATGTACGCCATCAAAGCCCTGAAGAAAGGGGATATCATCTCCCGGGATGAGGTGGAAAGGTGTGTGTTGATGTGTTTATCACTCTGCATTTTCCTTTGTGTGTGTGTTGTTGCTTTTTTAGCCTGAATCCTCTGAGCTCCATTTATACATGTCACTGCACAGTATTAATCTGTGCGGCTGTGCCTTAAATCACCATGATTACAGTTCATCTGTGGGCTGGGTGTGGGCGTCTCATCGACCAAAATAAACACTAATTATGTGTAAATGTTTCTCATTTTTCCCTCTGTTTTTCCTCTCCTCCCCTCATTTTTCTCTGATTTCCACCTTCTCCTTTACATCTCTACACCTCCTTCCTTCCTCTCTTACTCCTCGCTTATTCACTTTCTTTTGCCTCTTCATCCTCCTCTTCCTCCTTTCCACCTTTTCTCTCCTCGCCTCTCCAGTCTGATGTGCGAGAAGCGCATCTTTGAGATCGTGAACATGTCGCACCATCCCTTCCTGGTCAACCTGTTTGCGTGTTTCCAGACACCAGAGCACGTGTGTTTTGTTATGGAGTACACAGCAGGAGGCGACCTGATGATGCACATCCACACGGACGTCTTCACAGAGCCACGAGCCGTGTACGTAATACGCACAGATGTGTGTTTAAGAAAATACTAAATGGAGACTTTATAATTAGAGAGTTTCTTTCTATTCAATTTTATCTTTTATTATTTGTTTGTGTGATTAATTATTCCACAAATTCAGGCTCTTACACAAGTCTGTTAAGTAATTCACAAACCTCTGACGCTCTGCGTAAAAAATTTGCTCAGTAGTTCTAATGAATAAACATTTTATATAGTTAAAGCCCTGAAAAGATTTATCTTTATCTTCATTTTAGAGGCCATAGTTAACAGCTGTATTATATCAAACTGCAATGCATCATACTAAAAACCTTTGACCCTCATTTCTGTAATTTGTACCTTCAACAAAGTCAGTAATTTTCAGTAAACATGGCCAATACCAAAAGCCTACAACTTTTTATGTAGTAGTAGTGTCCATTTTCATTGTACAACCACAGATGCAGTGCATCAGCCGTATTGCCGGTGTCCTACCCAGAGCACAACTGTGCCACAGCTGGCAAGCAGCTGTTTGTCAGCCCTCAGACAGTAGCTTTGGTTGTGGTGCTTCGTGGTCTGAATGCATAGTTAGTGTAATTTGTTATGTGCCCCCCCACCCCACCCCTTGATGCAGCTGTATAATAATGTTTCTGCGGTTTGACTTCAGGTTTTATGCGGCCTGCGTGGTTCTCGGACTTCAGTTCCTTCACGACCATAAGATTGTGTACAGGTGAGTGGAACGCACACAAATCTGTCTCATCACATAATAGGTGAAGTATAAAAGAGACGTCTACGTCAGAAGCAAAACTGATTACAAAAAAAAACCCCGCTTAAATCTTAACTGGGGTCCAATGGAGAAGCTCCCTCTCTAACTTTGGATTTTTGAACCAATTAACAGAAATGATATGAATAGAAATTTTTCAAAAGAAGCCTCCAATAGCACAAAGAAATGATGCAAAGGTTTTTCTGGAATTAATCTTTAAACTTTAACTATGCCCTTGATTTCACATCTGAGTTCTGTCTGATTCTGTTTTCCCATTAAATATGAAGGGTTAGTGTTTTTTTTAGTATCTCTTAAACTCCTTATGTACGCTCTGCTGTGTTTGGAAAATGATTCTCACCCACATCTTTTCACCTTCCCTCTCTTCCAGAGACCTCAAGCTTGACAACCTGCTGCTAGACACAGATGGTTATGTGAAGATCGCTGACTTTGGACTGTGTAAAGAAGGTGGATACTGATGTTACTGACGCAGGAGCTCATTTCTCATTTCTCATGTTTGCCTAAAACATGTCCCATTTTCTTAAACGTGCCTAAAATTTCACCTTTGTGCCTCCGTCTGTAGGAATGGGTTTTGGGGATCGAACCAGCACATTCTGTGGGACTCCAGAGTTTTTGGCCCCAGAGGTCCTAACAGATACATCCTACACCAGAGCAGTAGACTGGTGGGGACTGGGGGTCCTCATCTATGAAATGTTGGTGGGAGAGGTGAGAACTAATCCACATCCACATACGCAAACCTCTTACAGTCTCCATGGGAACACACATTACAAACTTGTGAGGCTGATACCACATGCATCTGATGTCACACTGTGCTTTCACAGACTGTAGCTGTTCCTCTGGAGATATGAAGGATGGATTATGTCACGTCCAGATCCTGAAATATTTGAAATTGCCTAAAAAACAGTGAATTTAACAAGAGACCAAAGAAATAAAAGATGATCTGTTGACCGTCTAAGAATTAGGTCACGTAACTCATAACTGCAACATTACGAGTTCAAGAAATAAGTTGTTATCAAACTCTTGTGCAAACCTAAAAGTAGTAATGAAAGTACATTTATAACATCATGAAGGTTTATCCTGAATGATTATGAAAATTAGGTTTTTATTGTGGTATATTGCAAATTTGCTGAACTTCCCTCTTAAATGCCCTATTTATATTCCTTCTAGTTATCTGTGTTTATGCAGTGTGTGTTAGATATGACAAGTCTCTCTATATGTGACGTGACATGTTCAGTGTGATTAACACATTGATTTGTGAATTTCAAACCTCTAAAACTGATTTTATTGCGTTAAGTGTACTTTTGTGTCTTCCCGTGTGTGTGTGTGTGTGCGTGCGTGTGCGTGTGTGTGCGTGTGTGTGTAGTCTCCATTCCCAGGGGATGATGAGGAGGAGGTGTTTGACAGCATTGTGAATGATGAAGTACGCTACCCACGCTTCCTCTCCACTGAGGCTATTGGCATCATGAGAAGGGTAAGAGTACACCCATAAATACACAGCACTGTCGTGACAAATGCTGCATTTACATGATATATGAAACATTAATCACCAACATAGTTTGCATCCCCTTACAATTTCTTATTCTTTCGTGTGTGTGTTGTCACGAGCAGCTATTAAGGAGGAACCCGGAGAGAAGACTGGGCTCTGGTGAGAAGGATGCAGAGGAGGTGAAGAAGCAGCCATTTTTCAGAGTAAGTGCACTAATGCTGTTTTTTTTGGGTGGGGGGGGGTTAAGGGTGAGGAAGAGCAAAGGTTTTTCCACAGGAGAGCGTGACCTTGATGATGTGCTGATGTGTTGAAGGTGTGTTGACTCACACAGCTGCAGTGGAAGAACCGGTCACCTGCAGCTCTTTCTCTAAGCTTTGGTTGTCTCTGCTTGTATTATTCCTCCATGGCATGTTCTCCAACTGATAGGTGAATGCAGAGAGACCTTAAAAAAATAGCAGGCAGCTTTACTTGTCCTTTTTGACCCGTTAAAGAAAATATATGCAGAACTGAGAAAGATCAGTAGATTCCTAATCCACCTTTTCACTTATTTCTTGTCTCTTTTTCTCCGTATCTCTCCAGAATGTGGACTGGGAGGCACTGCTGCAGAGGAAGGTGCCCCCTCCCTTCGTCCCCTCCATCGGGGGCAAAGAAGACGTCAGTAACTTTGACGAGGAGTTCACCACTGAAGCTCCGACCCTGACGCCTCCACGTGAACCCCGCGTCCTCTCCCGCAAAGACCAGGACAGCTTCCGGGACTTTGACTACGTCTCTGACCTCTGCTAGTGAGCGGACCAACAGTCTCTACTGACTGTCCGCTGACTGTTTGTCTGCCATTAATTACACTGTGAATGAATGTGGATAGACTGAAGGAAGTCAGTGTGTGTTTGTGTGTCTGCAGGGTTTTAAAGATCGAGGACTGAGAGACAATTAGCTGATGGGGTTAAATGTTCTTTCAAGAACGAAGGATGAACGAAGACCCCCTCTCTAGTCGTTGTACAACACACCAGTGACTTGTGTATCTTGTAAACATTATCCTATGAAATGCCTCCTCCCATCCTCTTATGTGTCAGTGTAGTCACCTGTCATCTGTGCAGCTGCGAGAGGACGAGCTCTTCATATTGTTGACTGTCTGGAGGTTGCTCAGTGGCCTCTTATACCAATGCCTTACATTTGTACTTGTATCTGTTCCACAGAAAAGCGTTTTGTTTTTATTTTGTGACCCTTTGTATACAGCAGCAGGAGCAGTGATTCACCGCGCTGCGGAAATACTCTCAACTGATCTTTTTAGAGGATTTCCTTGTCGGAGTGGAATTAGTGACGTTCAGAGTAAATTTGTACTCTGAGCTTTTTCATCAGTCGATTGCTGATGACCTTCAGTCAGGCCGACTGAGTCTAGGCGAAATATGAGTTAACTATGGGGTAAAGAACCACTGTCTTACTTAGTTGCAATAGACCTTTTTATTGGGACGTCTACCAACCACTTTTTAAAAATTTATGCTGCTTGGATTTTAATTTCTGTGACAAAATCCAACAACAATTTGCAAATGAGTCATATTTGATGACTGTCAATGTATTGTTCAGTACCCTACACATGCTTTTTTTATTATTTTTTGGGGGGGTATTACACATTTTGGGATAACACACATTCATATCATAATTTGATATAAATATGTTGCAAACACAGATGACCATGAGAAAAAAATCTGAACACTAAGACTTGATAAACAAGTAAGAGACTTTCCATTATGGGTTTGAGACATATTCATCCAGTTGTCTAGATGCTCCCAGAGGTTTGTGAACATGAAGTCATTTTCCTCCCCAAGACAGTTGCATCAGACTTTAAACTTATCAAACACTGGCTGTAGCAGTTGTTTTTGTGTCTGTTTGAAGAACTTAAGCCACCCACAGGTTAAAACCTACCCACTGTGGTCACTGCAGGGTTTGGTTTCCATCACAGCGCTAAAATCATCTTTGTTTTAACCGAAACTGATTGATATCTCAGTACTTTTTGAAGATCTGGGTGGCGCCACAAGCAAAACAAACCTCACTAGCCACTTTTCCACGGTAGAAAGAATTGGAGAGCTGGCTGCAGTGAGAGCAGCTTTAGATCCAAGCAAACAAGTTCTCTTGGCAATACATTTCTAAATGAACACTATCATTAGAGGGAAACACACTCATTAATGTTGGAAAAATATGAGCCAGTGGTATAAACATCTATAGCACATAAACATTTCTGAGTACAGGAGAGGTTTGTTGTGAAGCTGGATGTCTGATGGTGTAGATTTTACGTATCTTGTGTATGACAATACAAAACCATGTGAGAGAATGAGATGACTTATTTTATAAAAAAGAAAAAAAAAAAAACCTGGAGTGAATATTATGTCTGTTCATTGTTGTTATGGGCATGGGAGTGTTCATTCAAGTACAGATACCAGAAAGAGAAGTTAAAAAAACCTGAAATGCATTTCAGTAAAAATATTACTTCTACAACTACAGTATTTGTGTGTATAGTCTGTTTTTGACGAAGTGCAGAAATACATTTCTACTGCATCATTTTGAATGAATGGGTCAGGATCCAAATTGGTCACTGACCTGCTTTTAATTTCAACTCAATTCAATATCATTTATCAACTTAAGGGGAATTAATGATGCTATAATATGATTATTCATCATCATCATTCATGTGTTGATTATTTTGAAGTGTGCATTCTGAAGTGTGAGTCCATATACCACTCTTGTATTTGCTGATGTGTAGCCTGACCTCTGACCTCCTCAGGAAGAAGCAAGCATCGCTAATGGAGAAAACGTCCTGGGTTCATAAAATATGCATGGGTTACCTCTATGTATAGCCGAAATAAGGATACAGACGCGACTGAATGTCATACTTACAACATAGCTGTGTGTTTACAGTTAAAACAACGTAAAAAAAATCCCACCTGCTGAAGAAGACCTTGTGATATGGTTAAAAGCACCAGAACAAGCAATAATCTGTACCACTTTCTGATTAGACACCATTTATAAATTGTGTATAAGCTGTGGTTAATGGCTTTATTAATTTGTAAATCAATTACAAATGCTTTTGTAGACCAGTTTTAAACCATTAATAACAACAGAGTCACCAGACTGTAAAAATCATCCTCCAGCATGACACTTTTGTCTTTTTAACTCTTTAATCATTAGTGAGACCCCTCCAATGGACTGTTCAACTGTCTGCCCTCTGGAAAAGTACTGCAGGATATATGGTATATCTGGACCAAAATCCTGCAAACTTGACGATTGTAGAACTCATAATTTATTAACATTTTATTATTACAGGTGATGTAACTTTTCGTAATGGCTCATTAGAAATTGAGAAACCCAAGACCCTTTATTGATATCATATTAAAATTTATAACTGCAGGCCTGATGACTTACTAAAAAGTTTGAAACCTTAAGTGCTTATTAATGGTTTGCCAACATTTGTAATATCACTATTATTGAACAGAAATAAAGTTGGTAAATTATTTATTAAGCAGTGGTACAGCCATTAATTACAGCTGATAAACCCACAGCGAATGGTACCCAGTCTTCTGATGAGGACAGTGTGATAATGTCAAAAATTCCAGAGCAAGCCAGTAAGTATACCTTGAGCTGAGATTGTTCAGTCATGTCCAGCTCTAGGGTCAAGAATGAATTTTCTCAATTTATCTGGACTTTTTATTCTTCCTCCTCAGATCCCTTTGATGACAAATACCCTGAGTAAAAACCCCAACCGTATATACTGGGTGAATGGCGATTAGTTGTTGTGAAGGAATGACTCTGTAATATCGTGCAATATAGGTGCATGAGGACAGAGGTGTAACATGAGTGATCACATTACTGCAGTGTGTCTCTCTCCAGTCCAGTCAGTCAATCAGAGAGTGTGTGTGTATGCGCGCGTGCGCGCGTGTGTGTATGTGTGTTGCTGGCCCTGCCTGCCTGCCTGCCAGAGAGGGGAGTCGAGAGCTCTGCTGGGAACTACATGGTGCTCAATTTTTCAAGATGTCGTCGCTGGAACAGAGGCTGTCGCGAATCGAGGAGAAACTAAAGCAGGAAAATGAAGAAGCTCGCCGGAGAATCGACCTCAACATCGACATGAGTCCGCAGCGATCACGTCCGAGGCCGAGTGAGTGTCCACCGGGGAGGACCGGGGAGTCGGTAACGGCCAGAATAGCAGGGGGAAAGATCGGAGAGGCGGAGGGAGGGAGGGAAGGAGTGGGGGTGTTAATGCTGCCTCTAGCTACTACATGCTAACAGGCTAGCTACATAAACAAACACCGACTCCGCTTGGTCGGTAAATTCTTGTGTGAAATCACTTACCTAACTGGTGGGACAATTTCTATAGCGAGTAAAACAAAATTTAGAAAATCCGAAGCGCTGTCATGAAATACCTTGCTGGCAGTCACGTCCCGAAATCTGTTTTGATTCTGTCCTGTCAAACATGCTAGGCTAACGGGCTAGCATTCTGAGTGATAGTCGGTGGCAGGCCCAGCGTCAATCTGAAAATGTGATGTAGTTTCCAGGTTGCCTATGTAAATATTTTAGACGTGCCATTTCATTTAAGCGTTTGTGTAGCTTCATACAGTTATTAAGCAGTGTATATGCTTATGACTCTTGCGGCAAAGTCAATTTTCCCTGCCATTTTTTGACCCTTTACGAAACAGACGCTAGTATGTGCCAGCTATCTCATCTAACGTTAGCTAACGTTAAACATACGTTAACTGCCTTCTTCTGTGGTGCTGTTAAGATGTTAACACTGTTTGTACTTTTTACACGGAGAGGTAAAACGCCAGTCTGTTGCAGAGCCACTGAATAAAACCCCTTTACAGTTTTCAGTGGATTTGAAGTCAGTGTTGTATTAAGGGGTGAAGCGGTAACGCTGGGCCCTTGGACCGTGTCAGAGGAGAAAACTCAGCCAAACAGCCCGGTTAGTTTAGCAGGGAAGTCTGCATGTAACACTGAGACAGACACTGTGATGAAGACTGAAACATCTTTATTATCTTACCAACGTATGATAGTGAATTTTTAAAGCTATTAGCAATAATATACATTCACTCACTGATGTATACAGATCATTCTTTCCTACAGATCATCACGTCTTGTCCAGTCATATGAGGTTTGAGAGACATTGACCACAAACCTTCTTTGTTTTTTCTTCTGTGTTCTTAAAACAAGTATCATGAGGGTACATTAGCTGTCTGTAAGAATGAAAGTGGGAAAGGTGTGAATGAGTTAAATGACAGGCTGGGGTTATTCTGTTTCTCTTATAGTCAACAAATACCATGGAAAGACCAATGCCAAGAATAACTGATAACAAGTGTCATCTGTGTATCCAAAGCCTGATATAAGCCTTTTCCTCCGTGTCCTCAACCAAAAACAAGGGATGCACTGATCCAATACATGAGATCCAATCCACTCCCTCAATATCATACTAAAAGTCAGCGTTTTCTGTCATCAGTTACCTTCACTCAGTCACAGCATGGCACTGACTTAATTTTTAGTGCACCAGCAATCACTCCCCTCAACTCACCTAATGGAAAGTGATCCCAATGACTTCCATGCAGTAAGTAATACAAATTTTAAATCCGGTATTGGTACTCTGAACAGTAGATCCCAATTAAAAACACACCAATGTGCCTCACCGTTGCACTGGGTGACCTGTGCCTTCATTGCCACGAACATGGACACTGTAACTTGTTTTGAGAGGATATACACCATCCTGCTGCTGTAAATGCTCACTAGAGCACCAAATGTGTATTAATCGGCAGTTGAAAATAGTCCAAGAAGAAATATTTACTCCTGTTTGAGTAACGTTTGCTAAAAATCACAGTGCCCAGCTGTGTACAGGAAATTACTGAACCTTTTATTAAAATGAAATGATATATTTTCTGACCAGTTTTTAAAGATTTGTGACTTCAGTAGAAACCTGTGGGCTTGGGGCTAAGTGCCACAGACAGGGTAGGAAAGTCGAAAAGTAGTGAGAGATGCACTGATGCTGATTGTTGATTTTGGTCTTTTCATAGGATTCGCAGACAATATGAAAACCAGAGTAATGCCAGAATTGTACTTTATACACTGCTCAGATTTGTGTTCTTTTTGAGAAAGTGAATTATAGAAGTCATAAAGTCTGTGGGGGTTTTTTTCTCCATTTGATATAAGATGGAGCGCGTATGTGTGCGCACATGTGTGATCGTCTCACTAGTACAGTGCAGTAATGTGCGTGTGTGTGTATATTTTCTTTCCTCTGTCTAGTCATCGTGATCCAGCTCAGTCCTGCTCCAGCCCCTTCCCAGCGTGCAGGTATCATTCAATCCATCGCTCTCTCTGCCACTGCCCCCCCCCCCCAACACCTGTGCCCCCTGTTTCACCTTCCATCCCCTCCTCCCTCATCTTCTCTTTCTGTTGTATACCAACCTTACACCTATCAGAGAGTGTTATTGACTTTTAAAAAAACGCAGTTCTTTACATTCTCACCAATTTAGTTTCCTTTGTTTTGCTCCAGTAGAGACTAATGGGGTCTCAATACTACAACTTCACTTACTGTAATTACTCACACTCGTCTTTTTTTAACACTTTTCTTACATTCAGTGGAATTAAAGTTCTAAGAAAGAACAGACTGTTGAAAAAGGTTGAAAGACAACCGTTTCTCCTTTTTATGTGTGTCTGTAAAAGTCAGTTTACTCTCTCCAACAAATATAGGTGCATACTGAGTTTCAGCCAGACAGACTGGATGGTATTGTAGTAACATATAAGATGGTGTAAGTTGTTATTAACACCAGCTGACAAAATGTAGTTTGGTTTCACAGACATTATGGATTATAATCACAACTTTAAAGCATGTTGACTTTGTATTTCAAACCTCCTCCCTCCACACACACACACACACACACACACACACACACACGCACGCACGCACGCGCGCGCGCGCGCCCCTTCACTCTCACTCACACACTTAATGTCTTATTCTGTATCTCACACCAGTGCCCGACAGTTTTACGACTGAATAAGAAGCTCCTCTGAGGGGTAAAAGTTTAATCCATGTTTGTGAAACCAGTCCTTGACCAGTGCTGAAATTTTAGCCCAGCAGTTATTTACACCTCTTCTCAAATCACATCCTCTCTCCATCTTTCCATCCCTACTCCTCTCTCTGACTGTGTATGTCTGTGCCAGTGGCAGGGCAGTGTTGGTGTGTGTTGATGTTCAGTGTGTGTGTGTGTGTATGTGTGTGCGTGCGCGTGTGTGTGTGTGTGCGTGTGCGTGCGTGCGTGTGTGTGTGTATTATTAGATTAACCTTCGTTTCGCTGGAGGCAGAGAATCACGGTGCATGTGGCTTTTCTGCACGGCACGATGTTTTGGGTTGTGTTTTGTTTGACACGGTCTCTAATCCAGCATCCCCACTGGTCCGTCTGCAGGAGTGCTGTGAACACTCTTCTCTTTTTCTCTGTGTTTTTCTCTGTGTGGCGACTGAAGAGTTGCCTTCCTGTCCGAGTCTGACTGGCTGACTGACTGTCCGACTTCCAGCTTAGTCTGTGCTATGCAGTTTTGGCTGAATTTCTCCTCTTTCTCCCTCACATTAGACTGTTTGATGTTGTTTGTCTGTTCTTCATCTTCTGGCATCCCCTCCCTCCCTCCTCCTTCCTTTTGCAGCGGCACTGTGCGAGCAGGAGGCGGTGCAGCAGTGCCTGCGAGTATCTGCGTGTTTATGTGTCTCCCCCTCTCCCTGCTCTGTCTGCCCGTCTATCTTCCCATCCGTCCATCTGGAGCCAGCAGAGCTATGGAGATGCGATTGGTGCCAAAGACTGCCTGAGTACTCCTTCCTCCCCACACTAACCCCTCCTCCCCTTCACTAACTGATTCTCCCTTTACAGGCTGATCCATCCACAGGTGACTCATGGATACAAACACCCGCTGGCACTCTCAGAGGAGTTGCCAGCCTGCTACTACAAAAACAATTATAATTATGATTATGACAATAGTTGTATGGTCCTTGAAATGTTTTTCAAACTGGTTTTGAGGATTTGAAAAAGTTGCTGATGTGACATTGCTATTAAGTAGAGAGTTAAACTCTTAGTAATCAGGGGTCTGAAGTCATATTTAGTATTCCTAGTCGATCTTCATAGCTGCTGATTTTCTGTCTGAGCATTTGGTTGCATGACAGGTCTGTGCTGATACTACCTTGGAATATTCTCTTGAAATTCTTTAACATTTCCACTTGAAATTGAGCCAGTGCTTGCACGCACACCTGATATTAGTCCAGCAGTGTTTTGACATGTCTTTTCACGCATGATTTACACCTTCGTTTATACGGGGCCAGAAGCATGTTGCATCTTCTGTTTGGATTTTGGATTTCAGTGCCAGTCAGTCTTGAACTGTCAGTTTGTCATCCAGGGTTGTGAAGTCATTTACTGTATGTGTAAGGCTGTGTGGCTACAGTTTATTATAACTTTATTTTCATTGCTCTGCCCATTGGTTATGATAACATTGTACTCACCTATATAATCACTGAGATCTGGGAACATGGTGACATCGCTGAAAAGATGCCCAAAGGGCCAACAAAGACAAGCGGTTACAGGTCGTAAAAAAGACACTCAGGTTAGCCAAACTTATTTGGAAAAGAAAAGAAAGGTGAACAGTAAAATTATTACCAAAACTGTCTGTTGTAAACATTTGACAGATTGACCTTTTGGTTCAACTCTGATCCACCATATATTTTGTTTTACCTCCAAACTGTCAGCTTGTTTACAACCTGTATGATCGACTGCTTGTTTGTTTCCCTGTTGGTCATATTTTTAGTAGTGCTGCTGAGTTAAAAAACAATGGCTGGAGCTGGTAAAATAAACCCCAAGTTTTAATAAACTGTAGTTTTCCTCTAAAAACAACCTGTGGACGCATCCCTAAACTGTACCTCCTGAGTTGTGGGCTAACCCCTTTGCTGTCTCTCTCTGCCTGAGAATGGTGTTGCTTTTGCTCTGAGATAACCGTCCTGTTTGTTTTAACATTGGGTCGGGACATCAGCGAAACAAAAACAAAGCTGTAACTTTGAGGGGAAAAAACAACAAGTTCATATGCTGGTTAAATACTATGCAGGGCCTAGATAGCAGTGCTGCAGTAAAAGAACTCTTTGACCTCGCCAAGGCCAGTTTCTCTTTTGCTCTTGAAGACTCATGGGAAATAATTTTCAGTCGCTGCCACACATGATATAATAGATCACTTTCTTTTCTCTTCAGTCTCGTATTGTGCGAAACAATCTGAAGCCCAGATTTCAGGAAGGAAACACAAAGTCAAAGAAAACATAGAAATTAGTTAAACAAAGCTAATAAATCAAATAATAATACGTTATCACTCTATTTGTGCATCATTTAAAATCACTAAAATATTGGAGTCAGTGAATGCATGAATGAACATAGCCATCTTACACCCTCTGGCATGCTGGCCTCTGGTGTAAAACACACCACTCTGTCCTCGAGTCTCCTGTCTGTGTCTAATGTGTCGTCTCTCCCCTCCCCTCACCCCAACCCAGCGCTCCAGCTGCCACTGGCCAACGATGGAGGCAGCCGTTCATCGTCTTCAGAGAGTTCGCCTCAGCACCACCCATACCCCAGCCGCCCGCGACACATGCTCACCCTGCCCACACCTCCTTACGGCCTACAGAAGAGTCTAGAGAAGTATGTTCACTTTTAGACACGCTGATGTTCCTGTGACAATAATTAACGAGACTGTATTTACAGAAGAGCCAAAAGGATCTACTTTGTTGTTGGAAATCAGTCTTACAGCATAGAATTGATTGGCTTACTACTACTGGCAAAAAATTATGATTCAAAAAAGAATATTCAATATATCTTTAAGTTTGTATGAATAATAACTTTTCTGGGAATGACAGTGCGGCGATAAGTAGCATTAATTGTTTTTTTATTAACGAGTACTTTAAACTTGGCTCTAAATACAATGAAGGCATCATAACTTGAGTCTGAACTCTCTCGATTGAAAATGAAACACACATTTGAAAAAAAGCCACAAAGGATGAGAGAGTGCAACACTCTTTGTAAGCACAGTGGAGAAGTATGGATGTAAACATGGAGATAAAACAATGTCACATACATACACACAAGACTGTCATATGAACATGCACATACATATGCCCACGGCACAGCAACACACAAACGCAGAGGACCGAGCAGTATGAAGGATCATGTAAAGCAGTGCAGGTTATGTTAAACTTAATGGATCCACATGCAGAGTGTGGGTGGAAGAGATGTACAGAAACACACTCGGCATCTATTTGTGAGTCAGAGGTGCCCCCCCCCCCCCCCCCCCCCTCTTTGTTTCATATCTCAATATGGACATTTTAACACTGACACATACTTTGTGTAGCATTTGCGCTCTCTGACATCCTTGTGTGCGTTGTCCCCCGCAGTGCAGAGATTGATCAGAAATTGCAGGAGATCATGAAACAGACGGGTTATCTGAAGATCGACGGTCAGGTGAGATGTGCACACAGAGACACGTGTTGAATTTCTCTAGTCTGGAATTGCGAATCCCCTACTAAACTTAATACATTTGTTTTTAAATTTGATTTACATCTTCAGTAAGAACCAGTGAGCTTGGGGCTGAGTGCTACACACAGATTGGGAGACTGACTAACAACATACTGGTTTTTGTCTTAACAATTAAATTAACCTTGACAATAAGAAAATACAGAATCAAACATCTACACCACTGAAGTGTCCTTGAGCAAAGCACAGAATGAGTCAGAAAAAAAACTCTCTCTCGCTCTTTCAGCCCTCAGGTCCAGTATCACAGTCAGAGCCAGTCAGGGTTTGAAGAAGTTTAAGAAAATTATGTGACTCATCACTGCACTCCAGAGTGTTTTAACATCCTCTCATTATCCCTGAGGGGTTGCTGCATCATGCACTCAATGAGATGTCACTCACAGCATCTCAGTCACCAATGATTTCATTTTAAGCAGGGAAATAATGCATCTTCTTCATCACTGTGTGCTGGTAGTCTCAGTCATGGCCCATGGGGGGAGCAGCTTAATTGCACATCAAAAAATTTGTTACTAAATGGCCCAAAGGCGTTTGCTGTTGCCTTACGATGCAGAAAGTCAGAATTGGCCTCTCTCCTCGATTTTCAGCTTGAAGAGTTTGCAGAGAAATAACATCCAGTTAGCAGTGTAACCAGTAGAAATATCTTGAGCAGGATATAAAATCCTTTTTTGTCATGTTTTCGCTTACTTGTGCGTCCACAGCGGTATCCAGCGGAGGTGACAGACCTTATCAGTGAGGGGGAGATCGGCAGCGGGACCTGTGGACAGGTCTTCAAAGTACGATTCAAGAAGACGGGCCATGTCATCGCTGTCAAAGTAAGTCCCTCCCGCACTCGTATGTTTTCATTGTTCACACAACCTGCTTTATTATGCCACATATTACTCGCAGTCTACACAGGATCCAGCTTCACACATACAACCAGCAGACATTATCAAGCTACAGCTAAACTTTTATTGTATAATCATGAAGAACATCAGACAAAATGCAGAAAAATACAGGTTAATAATAATGTGAGATCGGCTATATTATTTAAGAAGAGTGATGACATACAAAGTTAGCAGCAACCACAATATGATGTTGCTTATCTGAGTCAACCACTTTTCTGTGAAAGGAAATCTCTGCCCTCCAGAAAATGTCGGTTTTAGATGTAATGAGATCAAATTGTTTTAATCCCCATGCCATAAGTTTATTGTTTAATGTTAACAGGATCCCCATCAGCCACGAGCTGAAGCTAGCTGTCCTGGGATCCATCCTGATGGGGCAAAATCTAGACATTGACAGTTCGAAATGAAAATAATAACCTGAGGAATATAAAATGCATCAACAATACACAGTTAGTCTAAAATAGGACTGAACTGGTACACAACCCAGAACAAGATAAGAGCCCGGCCTTAGATCTTACGTAAATTATACATCACTTGCAGTTTGACGCTCTTTCTAATGATAATGTGTTTGATGGGGGCCGGTAACAGGTTCCAATCAGAACGGGCTCTGAACAGAATAGTGTTTTTCAGATCATTTGTTGTTGAGCTTTCTGTGTGCTGTTAATATCTGGTGGTCACTTACCAAAAGACGAGAACATTTCTTATAAAAATTTCCATACAGGGACCATAAAGACTCAAAACAAAATACAGTAGGAACTTGATGCTCACCACAGCTTAGTGGCGCTCTTACTTTCTGTTGTACATTATTTGCGTCTAGTTTACCAACAAGTGGCAGTAATAACCCAACGTAACAACCCTCCTATTTAAGAGTTGACTTAATTGTAGCCGTCCGAGCAGTTTAACAATTAGACAGTCAGTCAGTTCACCGCAGGAGTCTTTGCTTTGTGATTTCCTAATTACTTGTTACTTAACTTGTACACACAGCATGGTGTGTGTTTCTTACATTCAAATGCCTGCAGGAATCTTACATGTCTGTGTGTGTGTGTGTGTGTGTGTGTGTGTGTGTGTGTGTGTCACCAGCAAATGCGTCGTACAGGAAACAAGGATGAGAACAAGAGGATTCTGATGGACCTGGACGTGGTGCTGAAAAGTCATGACTGCCCTTACATCATCCAGTGCTACGGCGCCATAGTTACCAACGTGGGTGTCCCAAATATACATTACTGTCTGTATTCTTAACATTAAAATAGTAGAACAAGAGTAAATTTTACAGCTAAAGTCAAACAAACGTTTTTACTCTTGCATCTCAGTAAACTCGCTTCCTGCACTGGTAAAAGCTGGATGTGTGTCTGTGTGTGTTTGCATACATGTACAGACGGATGTATTCATTGCAATGGAGCTGATGGGAACTTGTGCGGAGAAGCTGAAGAAGAGAATCCAGGGCCCCATCCCAGAGCGAATCCTAGGAAAGATGACAGTGGCAGTAAGTGGAAGAAACACATACCGAGATCAGGAAAGTGTAACACTGCTCACTCTATTGTTTTTGCTCTTACTGTTTGGTCCTACTGTGTTTCTGCTCCAGATAGTGAAAGCGTTGCTGTACCTAAAAGAGAAACACGGTGTCATCCACCGGGACGTCAAACCCTCCAACATCCTCCTGGACGCTAAAGGTCAGATTAAACTGTGTGATTTCGGCATCAGTGGACGCCTCGTCGACTCGAAGGCCAAGACTCGCAGTGCCGGCTGTGCTGCCTACATGGCGGTGAGTGAAAACACACACACATACACTGTACTCTCAAAATACTACGACGAGCTCACACACAACATCACATCCCGTATGTCATCTATAGACATACTGAATATTTTGTATTCCTGCAGCCTGAGAGAATAGACCCTCCAGATCCCACCAAACCCGACTATGACATCCGAGCAGACGTGTGGAGCCTCGGCATCTCTCTGGTAAATCATTCAGTCATTTTATTGCAATATATGAAACAAGCATCGGCCTGGAGTTCCATAATGACTGATCAGGGGCTGCACAAGATTTGTGCAATTTTTTTTTTTTGTTGTGACTAATAATAATGTTTGATCTAGGAGATAAATGCCCCTATAAACAGTGTATTATAAGCATATAGACGTGTGCTGCTGCATAGGAGTTGACAAGAACTTGAATGTAAAAATTTATTATTGACCTTTGGAATATGAAGCGCTTTTTCGACTACATAGTTCCAAGAACCATAGGACCCGAGGAACTAAACTAGGCACTAAAATACACGTTTCCAATAATGGATGGAAAAACTATGGTTTGAGCATGAAAGTGAGTTCGATTTTTTTCCTCAGACTATTGACAGAACCTGCATACATTAGGTTGTAGACATCTGTAAAGTTACTATTTTTGTGTTAGTTATTTAAACAGTCTCCTTACAAACAAGCCAAGCATTTATTGTCAGTGACATTGGATGCTCATGGTTCCCTGTGTCCTGCAGGTGGAGCTGGCCACGGGACAGTTTCCCTACAAGAACTGCAAGACAGACTTTGAGGTTCTGACCAAAGTGCTGCAGGAAGATCCTCCTCTGCTGCCTCTCAGCATGGGCTTCTCCCTCGACTTCCAGTCCTTCGTCAAAGACTGGTGAGTTTGAATATCACTCTAAAACTGGTTCTTTTAAAATTAATTTGTTGCAGCTTCATTTAATGTGCACATCTTTCCACAGCCTCACAAAGGATCACAGAAAAAGGCCAAAATACCACGTGCTGCTGGTAAGTCACCAGTCGTAATGAGCAATTGCCAGAATAACCAGGATTACCCGATGCTCAAATGTAACTAAACTGTTTCGATCTCTCGCTGTCTCTTTGTCCATCTTCCTCGTCCAGGAGCATAGTTTCATCCGACGTTACGAGGTGCTGGAGGTGGACGTGGCCGGTTGGTTTCAGGCGGTGATGGATCGCACCGAGTCGCCTCGCAGCAGCCAGTGTTACAGCCATCAGCACCAGCTCCACTCGCTCTTCAGTAGGTAGCCTAGCCCTCCTGGCCTTAGCTTAGCCACACGCTAGTCTAGCCTAGCTTTAGCTTTGCCAAGCCCAGACTCAGTCTGTCCTAGTCTAGCCCAGCGTCAGCAGCTAAGCCCTAGCGTTAGACCCAGCCCACCTGTCCATCTGTCCACCGGAGAACCTGAAGAGGAAGAGGGAGAGACGGAGACTCGATGGAGGACTCTGGATCGACAGATGGAGTGATGGCCGGGAGAGATGGACTGATGGATGGATAGACGATACAGGTGGTTCTCCTTATGATTGCGTCGAATCTGGACAGGCAGACATGGGGAGGAGGGAGCAGAAAAGAGTTCACACTGTAGTTTCGTTTACACTCTGTTACTTCTCGTTAAACTATCATATGACGTCACATCACAGTGTGTCTAACAGCCACACACAAAAACCGTGTGTGTGTCTTTTATGTGTGTCTACATTTCCTCCACTTTTCATTAGTTTTTCACCTACATGTCTGTCTCCAGCATTGATCCTAACCATTGGATTAGTCAACAGAGTAGTCACTACACACTGGAACAAAGCATCTGCTACATTAGCAATCATGAATCGCTCTTGTACATAAACGTTATGGAGGACACAGCAATGTCCGGTGCAATTATGATTCTTCAGGTGTTTCTACTATCACACATTCTCAGGCTGTATCTATGTGTGTGTGTGAGTGTGAGTAAGCTTTTCCATGTGTGTTTGTGAGTGTGTGTGTGGATGAATATCAAGACACAGTCACTGGTTGTTTTTATAAGTGAGATTATATTTCCTAGTCATTTATTCACCTTCACACTACAGCTCTAACACACAAACAAGAACAAATGAATCTGTTGGCTCATTTTTAACATGTTAGAATAGTAGTTCTAATTAACATTGCTATGAAATATGTTTCCATCATTGTATTTAGCAGCTGCATAATTGGAAAAACAACAAGGAAAAAAATTACAAAAAAATTAGTGTTGCATTCTAGCTTTGTAGAGAAGGAGTTGTGTATGTTTTTTGTGTATTCAGAATGAGTAAGTGGAGAGTTAAGAGATACGGAGGGATGCTAAGAAGAGAAAAGATGAGTTAGAAACAAGAAGTGTCCGACTCTTTCTAGAAGTGAGGGAGGAAAAAACAAAGTAGAAGTTGGGAGTCGTGCGCTCGTTGGTGACAATTCGGAAGACTGAATAACTGTTAGTGTAGTGTGAGAAACAGAGGAGAGAGGTTGGAGGTAAAAATGGGAGCAGAGTGCTTTTTGAGTGAGAAGGCTAAGAACAGGAGCTTATCTTGTACAAAGAATAGAAATGGAGTAGATCTTTTTACCTGTGGAGCATTTCTTTACTTCACTCTCTGTCTACCTCTTCCTCTTTGTCCACCTCTCTGTCTCCCTCTGCTGTTTAGTGTGATGTAGTGCTCCACAGTGTTTCCAGACCAAAGGCTGCGTGTAGGATGTTGCTGGTGGGGGCCAAGAGATAATAGACCCGCTCCTGTGAAATTTCAGACTTTAAGAAAACATACAGACAAGTCTTGATAAAGCATGTTCTGGTGTTTTTAGGACCTAGAGCAGGGGTTTCAAATAACCAGCCCAGGGCTCACCCACATTAAGAAATGATTTCTTTTGGGTCTGTGTGTGTTTTGTTTGTCCCCCACAACAAACACTCCAAAACCTAATGATACTCAGTTTGCTATCATTTAAGAGAGAGAAAAGCAGGAAAACATATGAGATGGTAAAACCCATGAATTTTTGGCATTTTTGCTTGAAAAATTATTTAAACAATTGTTGCAATTCCTTTTCTGTTGATCAACTAAATCGATTGATCAAGTAATAGCACCTACCTACTATTAGCTAAGATTTCACGTAGTGCACCTGAGACTAGCACAGAGAGTTTCAAGACACCTAGACAATTGACTCATTCTTCGTGAGGTTTAATGTGACTGTTTCCTGTCGCTATCTGTGAGGACAAAGCTGCTGTTCTCCTTGTATACAGTCTGCAGCAGCGTCGCTCCACTAACAATCTAGAGCAGTGTCATCGACATGAGTTTGTATAGCCGAAATCTGTAGTGCTATGCTGCCCCACTAGGAGAGAACTACCTGACCAGTGGCCCCCAGGTAATTTGACTTTGAGACCCCTGATCTAGAGGATTGTTAAGTTGAAAGTGAGTGTATGTGTGACACCTGAACTGGTTAACATGTTTAAAACTGCAATGTATAGATGTACTTTATGTGCGCAGGTCTACAAACTGACTAGGGTCACAGCCAAAGCCTGCTAGATGTGCAGACTCAAACCTCCCACGCCCCGTCACGCACCGAACCAAATCACTGCTAGACACAGAGACCTGAGGAGTGGCATCGAATGAGACAGGAAACGGTAAAGTGTCAGGAGAGTGAGCGAGAGATCCAGGATTGTTGTCAAGGTGGCAGAAAAGATGAGTGGAAATTAAATGACAGGAAAAAGAGGACAGGACGAAGTGAGGTGAGAATGAAGACAGGGAGTATTAAGAAAGTGGGATGGGAAGTTAAAGAAAAGTCAGAGACAGTTGGGTGACAGGAAGTAAGAGTTTGAAAAAGGAGAGAGGAAACAGGAAAGGAAAACATCAGCCCAAGATTCACAGGGCTGCTGAGCTCTGAGGCTAGCTGGTTATTGTAAAAAGCTTTCATGGTGTTACACCAACCTACCAATTATGATTTTAGCGAGTAAGTTGGCGTGTTGTGTTTATGATGTTTATGTTCTGTTCAAACTATGTTATTTATTACATTGCTACTGCTGCTACTTTTTATTGCTTTAGACGCTGCTGTCACTTCTTTTCCCCAAAGGACAAATACTTTATTCTTTTTCTTTTAAGCCAAATAAATGAAATAATGCAATGTCTACACATGTTACCAAATACTGAAGAGCAAGTGTGAAGAGGGCAAAAGCAAGTGAGAGGTGGCATGAAGGATTAGAAGAGAAAGTGCAGGGAGGTTGGCTTCACATACTAACTCACACAAAATATAAACACACACCTCACCTCAAGTGTAGCTCTATGTGTAATGGAAGTAGGTAATCATTTATATCCCATCGTCACACTACAACTCTGTACAGTGTAGATATGATCAGAGGGGGTGTCTGTCTGTCCAGATGCTTTTTGTCACATCCATTCTTTACTCTGTCCATCCATCACTTCGTCTGTCCACAGGTCGCCTGCAAGCTTGACAACCTTGACAGTTCACACCAAAGGTGTCCACAACTCAACAAAAATACGAGAGCGTTGTTGTTGTTGTTGTTATGACTATTGTTATTGACATTATAATTGGTTACTCTGAGCTATGATATATATGAAATCTCTCTATAGCTAGTGGCAGAGGGTGTGGGGGGGTGGGGTGGGGGGGCGCTGTAGTATAGCAGTGCCATGCGTGTGTCATATACTGTACAGGGGGAGACTGGTGCACTACTACATGACAAGGGCCAAGCAATAAAACCAGCTTATCTTTCTGCTCAGTGAATCAAACTCGCCACCGGCCTGTGTCAGGAAGTGACTTCAGCTTAGCCTGACTCTCTTTGGGCTACTTGGCTTCACTCGTCTATCCTGAAAGACTGGTATCACTCAGCTGGTTATCAACTGGCTCTGTTAGCTCTGGGTTTACTAATCCAGCCAATCCAGAAAGAGGCAGAAGGGATTTTAGAGTTAATCTAATCAATTGTAGAAACAGCAAGCGGCTATCAATTTCATCACACAACTAGAGCAGAGTAAGGAAAAGGCTAAAAGAAAAGTTAGTAGTAATTATATAGTTGTTTTGAGAGGGTCACTCCTGACATTTAGTATTCCATCTCCATAAATTTGGGGAAGGCTTTTTTTTTTTTTTTTTTTTTAACTGTCACAGTTGAAGCGTCAGAAGCAGAGATATAATGACTGTAAGTCCCTATCGAGGGTCAAGATCCAAAAAACACTGGATCCTTCATTTCCCATAAATATAACCCAGCTGATAATCAGGGTCATTTTCCTGAATTTAGGAAAGCTCCCTCTAGTACCACACAAGACGTAACCCTTAATACGACTATTTTCACTGAACTAGTCCTGTTAATTAAACTGAACCTAATGTGTAAAAAAACAGTGGAGTGCCCCTTTAAATACAGGTGGCATTGTGGGTCAAGAGTGTTAAAGTTATCTACACTGTCAAATGTAACTTAGTGTTGTTGATATGTAGCTGTAATGGCCATTCATTAGGCTGTTTGTGTGATAGCATTTAGTCCCATTTCAAACCCAAAGTAGACATAAAAAACCTTTTTCTCTGTATTACTTGTTATTTATTGTAAATTCTAGTGACAATAGTGACTCCATGTTTCCAGAGATCTGATTGGTCAGTGGGCGGCGGTCTGTTGGCAGGTTTTCATCTGATCTTTAGATGTTAACCTGCTCTGATAGCTCTCTAGGTTACCATGGTGATCTCTACCCCAGTTAAAAGTGAGCCAGCTCAGTGATGCCAGAAAATCTGCCCAAAGAAAGCTCCTGTCGCTTCATGATACAGGCCCCTGAGCAGATGAGAGTTGGCACAACTCCGTTAGCTCAGCCTTTGTCGGGTTTTAATCTCAAGACCAGGATATGACCTGGACCTGATTTCAAGCCACGGTTTACCTTCGGCAGGGAACAGGGTAGTCCTGCTGTTGTAAACTCTTCATAACAGGATTCAGGGCTGATCATGATCTGACTGCTCAGCCTCCCTGCTCAAACTGTTGTATATAATCCTGAATCTGGTGCTTAGCATCCTTCAGCTGTGCTGCGCTGCCAGCACAGTCTGAGGTGTATCATTGGTGCAGTTTCAAATATAATCACTCTAGGAGATGGTGCGACCCTCTCTCACTACAACGTTCACTGTTCATACTCTTGTTTCTGTGTCTCGGCTAACTCGTCTCCAAACGCAAAGCTGGACCCAGTCTCCCACTGTCGAGGTTCTCTGTTATAAAGCTGATGTTGTATTTTACAAACGCACGCACACACTCGCTCGGCTGTTAGTGTGCATTTCCATCCAAACACCTGACTGGATGATGGTGCCACGCTATACCTCTGTGAAACCAATCAGTCAGGTCAGGCCAGGTGTGCATCTGACTCTGTGTGTGGCTGTGTGTGTGTGTGTAAGGTAACAAAATGTCTGATTACCAATCTACACACGCACACACACACACGCACACACACAGACAGACAGATACCCACCAAATGTATAAAGTAATCCCATTCTGCACAGCAATGCTGGCTACTGCCAATAGTGGCTTTATGTGTATATTAGCTTGCTGGGTGCGAGGCCAGTGGTGTATAAATTCAGCTAGTTCATAGGGCGTACCTGCGCTGTGCCTTGGCACCAAGTGAGAGAGCGTGCGCGCGTGTGTGTGTGTGTGTGTGTGCGCGTGTGTGTGTGTGCGTGTGTGTGTGTTGTCACCACCCCATCTGTAAGTAAACCAAATATCATTTTCACTATGCAGTCATTCAAACTATGTCAGCTTGCTTCGATGGGAAAAAAAGCCTCCTGTACATACAGATTAACGGATAAACTGGAGTTAGCGACAGTGTGTTTTCTTTTCGAGCCCCTCCCCCCCTCCCACAGAGTAAAGACAGAGCAAGAGATATGTTTTGAATGAGCTGACAAA